GATAGGACACTGGAGCTTTGAAGCGCTGGGCTCCTGGGAGCTGTTTAAGCAGGAGCTGCTTCAAAGCTCCAGTGTCCTGTTGCCAGCGGAGGGAAGAGTACAAAGACTCCGGACTCAACTCGAGGGTGTAGTAAACAAGAACGCACTCGGGAAGCTCCGGCATCAAAGTACGGATGTCCTCCACATGCTGGATGAGAAGGTCAGCCGTAGGGAAGTCGCCGGGCTTTGTACTCCGGATTTTCTGTAGGCCAATCAACAACGGCAGCGTAGGATTTTCGCCGCAGTTCTTAAGAAACCAGTCCTCCAACCACTCCAGACTTGGAATGAAGCCACCCTGCATTGCAACAGCCGAATGCAAGGCCAAACGAAGACGAAAAGGTTCCAGCGCCGCGATGAAGGCGACCGCGACATCCTTCGATTGAATTGGTAGACCGCAGCGTTGCAGTTCGTTCTGAATAGCGATTTTCTGCAACATCCAACCCTGCGCCAGGGTCAGTTGCTGCTTTTCAAGGGAATCTGGAGACATCTCCAGCAACTTGTCGAAGCGTGGGTACGTGGGCGCCTTCTCCATAATCGACAAAGAAGAAGCGCGATTAGTGACTTCTATGACAGTATTGTCGCGGTCGGCAACGGCCGCGATAGGAGGATCAGGATCAGCAGCAGACATGGGATACGACGGTGGAAGCGAAGTAGGCTAGGATCGAGAAGTCGAGACAGTTGAGCTTGTGTCGGGTATGGTTCCCCCGTGATCCTTGTTTGTGATCGGGATCCGCGTTTCCGTTCCGCTTTCTTCACGCATCTGTGTGAGGATATGTCTATCGACCTCCGTTTCAGTTCGGTTTATCATCCGCAAACTGATGGTCAAACTGAACGTGTGAATCGTACCCTCGAGGATATTTTGCGCCATTATGTTGCCGGTGATTATTGATCCTGGTCTCGTTTCCTTTCCATGGCTGAGTTCGCCATGAATAACTGGGTGCATTCCTCTACCGGTACTTCTCCGTTTCGTCTGATGTACGGTTTTGAACCTCTGACTCCTAGTTCTCTCTTGGCTCGTCAAGTGGGGGGGGAGAAGGCGCGTGCTCTTCGCAACGCCGTTTCCGTACGTTTTGCATCTGACATGCAAGGTGCGCTTGAGCGTGCTAAGCGTTGTTTGGCTGCACAACGTGATCGTATGAAGCGTTTTGCTGATCTCAAGCGTTCGGAACGTCAGTTCAAGCTTGGAGACGTCGTGTTGCTGAGCACTCAGCACATGCGTCTTGAAGGTCCACGCAAGTTGCTTCCTCGTTTTATCGGACCGTACGTTATTAAGGCTAAGATTAACGACGTCGCTTATCGTTTGGACTTGCCTAATGGAACGCGTATTCATGACGTATTCCATGTGTCTCTGTTACGGCCTTACTATGAGAGCGATCGTGCTCCGAAACCTCCGCAACCGGAGATTGTGGATGGTGAATTGGAATTCGAAGTCGAGGCAGTCCTTGATCATCGTGACGTGACACAAAAGCATCGTCGTACTCGGTTCTTTCTAATGCGTTGGAAGAATCAAGGTCCAGAGTACGACTCGTGGGAACCAGAGTCGAACCTGACTAACTGTGCAGATTTGCTGCGTTCGTATTGGCAGACTCGTACAACAGCTGCTACCCTCGCGTCCCAACCTAAACCAGGAATCACGCCTGTTGTCTCGCCGTCCTCCGTCTCGGACGTTCGTAAAACCAGATCTGGGAGAGGTGTTCGTAAGCCTTCTCGTTTCTCCGCATTTCTTCGGACTATGTCTACTGCCAGTGGGGTGCCTGCGACTCAGCTTTTCCATGCGCAAGCATGGCGGCATGGATAAGTCGGCTGTTGGGACGACCAGCCAATTAGGGGGGGAAGTATGTAACGAGCATGAGCTGTTACACTACTCTCATTCACCTATTCGTTATCGTTCGTCGGTGTAATTTGGCCTTCGCCATAGGGCCTTCATCTAATCTGGTTCGCTTTGCCGTACTTCCGCCGGTGGCCGGTCGATAAGACGGCTCACCACCCATCACTCGGGGTCTTTCGGTCCCACCACACAAGTGGAATGTTTCTTAAATAGGCTCGATTGTAACAAGGACTCTCAGTTGAATCTAAGGGCACTCACGCAGCTGGAGGCAGGCTTTAGGGATGATTGGGATTTGTCGGGATGACGTTAAAGCGAGAGCCATAGAGTCATGAATTTGCGTTGCCATGGATGGTCACGTCGAGTCGAGGTTCATTAATCTAAAAGTTGCTGCAGCGCAGCTGAATATGGTGGGCAGCCTTAGACATGTGTGTTCTGGAGTGGGTTTGTCAGATTCGAACATGGAGAGCAGGTTATACTGCTCCAACCCGGTGTCAGGGCTCGTGCGTTGGGTTGCCATTGCTCGGCGTGATTTCCAACTACAGGCTGCGAGCACAGCATCTTGTGGTTTATTCCGGAATGGTACGTGGAAAAACGGTATTCCCTCCTGATGGGGCCCCACGTAACGGTGGAGCTAGTGATGCCATGTAATGTACTGCCTCATTACGCAGCAATTCAGTTAAGTAGGTACTCGTTAGGTACTCGATACCACCCTATCATTTGAAGCCGCCATCCGGACATACACAAAAGTGTGTCGTCATCATGACAGGACGACCTGGAGGGAACACATATTGGCATCGCATTAATTGATTGTTACTCTACACACATGCCCTCCTTCCCGTCGCACGTGCTATACGTGCGATGTTGCTTTACGATAAATCCGTGGCCATGGCCGGTTTGAGCTTTTCCAAATTATGCATGCATCTGCCCTACATTTATCTGACATAAAAAAGACATCTTGTCATGCCTTGGGTCCACTTACCACAACCGCATAGTTACAGACCTATCATCCATGTCACCGTATACCGCCACATTATTAAACAAATGGTACGCATTATATTGATAGTAGAAAGACCGGTAAAGTTGGAAAAAAAGAGGAATGTCGCGACTCATCGCTAAAAGGTCAGACACCCGTTGCCGTCCGTTCGTGACTCACACCGATTTCCGGACAGAGGCCTACGAGGCTATTACGTCAAGCCAGACAAGTTCAGCCAAGTCACCACACCTATTATACCTTACTTTGCATAGCTGGTGGAAGATACCAAGACATTCGACGGTGTCGGGAACTTCGGAAGACATCGCGTGCAAAGGGCCCCTTTTGGCATACTTTTAGGAGCGTGGACCACAACACAACTTTAGTATGGCAGCCGGTGTTGTAGCGGTGTCTCCCGGCGTGGTGCTGCTCGGCTCAGTCAACTCCGAGCCTGAAAGCAGTGCATTACTTTGCCTTCATGACTCCCTTCTTCAAGATATTTTACGGCGTATAGATATACAGAGCCGTGTCGCTGCTTCGGTGTCCTGCCGGCGCCTGGCAAGAGTTAGTGCTGAACATCCCCCTTCGGTCGTCGACCTCAGCTCAGATGGAGTTCATCCCGAGGCCTGCCGTCGTTACATTGAGAATGCAAAGGGGGCGATAGTCACCCTTGCAACCGCCAGGTTGGTCAGCGGCAACCTGGCGCAATGTCGTGATGGCGGTGTAACTCAGTGT